GTTAATTCAGTATAAAGTATTCCAAAAACATGTAGAATATGGTCGTTACTATGCAGGAACTGAAACAGCCTTAAATGTCACAGTGGAAAAAGCTGATACTATTTATATGCCGCTGAAAGTATTTATTGGAAATAAATAAAATAACAAAATGAATCAGATTAGCCCTTTTCTTGATGTCGTTCACTAAATACTTTAGAGCATAGAGTTTACAACTTTACACACAGACTGATTCATACGGCCTAGATGTGGCTGAAAAAGAGTTCAGTGAGGTCACTGGTTAGCAGTGTTGGGCAAGTTACTTTGAAAAGTAATTAATTATAGTTACTAGTTACTTCTTCAAAAAAGTAACTGAGTTAGTAACTGAGTTACAATTTTCTAAAAGTAATTAATTACTTGAAAAGTAACTATTGCGTTACTTTAAAAAACAAAAACAAAAAACGTTTAACCCTCTGGGGTCCAGGTTGTAACTGGCCATTTTTAACTACTTTTGATGTTTTCTCTAAATTTTACCTTTAAAAACTATGTACTTTTCCTTGTTTGGTATCTTCCTTTTCAGCACAACCTCACGTGTCTGAATTTACAGTTATGTTTTCATTTTGACATACTGTATTAACACAATGATCTAAAATCACACAAAAAACACAAAATCAGAGTAGAAAAAGTTATATTTTAACAACCACAAACATGTTTAATGAATCATATTTCATAACTTTAAATGCAAATATAAATGGTCAATTTTAAAATCCTGTGCACAAGTTTTGCAAACAATAAAGTTATTTGCATCTATTTACCTTTTACCTTGATTTTCTAAATAACCATTTCAAACTATTTACAGAACAATCAGCTGTTCATTATTCAATAAGATGCCACATAAAAATAATTTCTGTCCACTATAAAGGAGAACATCACAGCCTAAATCCTGTAGGTCTGACAGCAGCAGGTGTATCACTCCTTTTTCTATCTGGAGACAGCAGTCACCTCATTGTTCTGACACACAACACAAAACTATCCACAACACTACACTCCCATCACTGCTGGTTAGCCTGGAGGCTAACAATGAGCTGAGACCACAGATAAAAAAATCGTCATATAAGGCTGTTTAACTCAGGACAAAAAAGGGGCAGCTTGTAAAACAACTATTAGATCACAAACAAAAGTATTTTAGTGTAAGTGTAATTTTAGACCAGAGTGGAAAAGCACTGAAAATGGATATGTTGGTCTTACCTCAGCTTTGTGAACTCTGAACGGGCTTGATGTTTCACGGTCGCTATGACAACCGACTGGCTCCACCCCGACCGCAGTTTAAAGCTGCTTTGTGTCAGGAGGAGCTACACACCGGCGTGGATGCTACAGAAGAACGGTCACAGTGAGATCTGCAGCCCTGCGATCTAATCTATGTCTGAAGAAAGTGCATGTTCTACTCTTGTGATAAATGACTGATAAAATATTATTCTTATGTGCACTTTCTGTAAAGCAGAAGGTATATTTTTTTTATATTTGGTAGCACTTTTTAATAATTTCACACTATTAAGCATTATTAAAGTATTGGTAAGGTATTATAGAGTACTTAATTTAGCATTTATAGACATTGCCCTGCTTTAGTATGCCATTTATAAATATAGATATTTTATTATGACTATGATTACGATTGTTACTGTGATAGCTCTACATGATGTAACAGTAACGGATGGAGAGACATACCTGTATTTATAAATGACATACTGAGGAGGACTCTCTCTTTCTCATTTATCTTTGAATGTTATTCCATGTGGTTTAAGGGTTTCTGTTTCTCAAAATCATACTTTACTTATAGCATATGCATATTTATCTGTTCCCACTCTCCTGTTAGACGAGTGGACCAATCTTTGCCTACTGCAAGTACCAGCATCTGTATGATGTATAGAAAAATTTTACACACATTAAAGACAGTTCTTTGGACTAAGCAGCAACCTCTGCAGCTAAAAATTCAAACCAATTATAATACCAACGAGTGCAGTTTCTCTGGTGGTCGCTCCCAATTTTATTTATATAACACAAAATCACAGCAGCAGTCATAAACAGTATTTCTTTTGTGCTATCATTTTAATAGAACTCTTCAAGCATGTCAGCCTTGCAACTACTCAACCCGCTGAACCCAGCACACATGAATAAGCAGCCAAAACTTAACTGAACTGGTCTGTGTTTTTCATTGCAAGTTGGAGAATGATACTGGGATGAGGTCAACATAGGGACAAGCTGATGGTCTTCTGTTGTTCTCCTTTTATAACATGGTAGTTAACAGTATATAAAATAGTGTTTTGTGCCTCAAGTGCCGCCTTGCAACTCTGTGAATGTTTTCAGATCTCATCCCTCTGGATACCAGAGTTAGTCTGTATCTTTGCAGTAAGTAGCAGATGTGTGTATTCAGGCACTGCATCTGTACAGTTTATCAATGCAGCTTGCTAACCACAGTTACTAGTGTTAGCTGATGACTTAACCTACATTCTCAAATACGGTAACTTCCAGCTAAACAGGCAAAAATGAAGCAATTATAATAAAATGAATGTGGCTTTCAAAACGCATGCTATGACCATCTTTATTATACAGTTTACAGTTACCCTCCAAGTATACCAAAATGCAAAATTAATAGGACTGTTTCATGCATGTGAAGCATTATAATGATATGGTATTGCACTGTGTTAACTGACAGGATTTTACAGCCAGCTGGCCTTCGCTTTAACAATTAAGGAAACAAAACATTATTATTCAGGATCTAAAAGCTTGAATTTTAAAGATCTTGATTTAGCCCATCCTTTACATTTGACACTTTAAGTTTTAAAGTTTGCAGTTCTTACACTTTTGACAAAGGAAAACTCTCTTGCTGCAGGATAATCATCTGCAAATGGATTTTTATCACAAACTGACAACATTGTTGTTAGCCCTTTATAAAACAGAAAAATATAAAATGTCTTATACAATAATTTCTTGGCTTCTACTTATACCTGTGTATGAGGGTGCCTGCGTGCATAAAGAAAACATGATTGCTGTGTGCACAAAAAAATAAGAGCGATCTACAAAGAAAAATGTCTGTGGTTATAGATCTCTTTGATGGTTTTATTTGTTTGAAATTTGCACAATAGAAGAAGAGAAAGTACACAACTGTAAAATGCAGTTCATAATGCATACGCTCCTCTCCGGGTCTTCATTGTTGGTGATACTTTTATCCTGCTCAATCGCCCAAATATAATCATACCCTCTTAATCACAACAATCCAAAAATAATTATGGTTTTCCATCAATAATCTGACACATCTATTCCTTTCTTTCTATAAATCTTTTCATAATTACCACTTGTTCGTCAATTGTTACTTTTAAGATTGGGCTTTTTGTGCTTGAAATATGGCCGAAATCACTAAAAGGCAAATTTTCAAATCAAACTACTCTGTGTGCTCAGAAAGTAAAACAGGGTGTCAACAGGAATATCGGCAGCATTAGAAATATATAAGTGTTATTCTTAATGGCGAATGCCTGCACATTTACCTCAGTGATGAATAAAGCAAAAATGTACCAGAAGGATTACAAATGCAACAAATGAGTAAGCAATGTCATCACAGGAAACAGAGAACGTTAAATTACATTAAGAATACAGAAAGCCACTGTTGGCAATCATTTAAACAGTTTTAAACAGCAAACAGTAGTAATAAGGCAGATAACAGATGAGTGTGTGTATGGATAATGAGCATCTTGATATTGGCAGTTTGAAGACTATACAAGTGTCCTTAAGGCTTCTATGTCAATGACTGTGTAATGACATTCAATACAAAAGCTGCAGCCACAATGGACAAATACACTCTGAATAGGCACTGATTAAAAGCTGAGAATCAGCTCTCCAAGCTTAAAATACCTAAATACTACAACATATAGTAAGTTAGCAAATGCACACATTTTACCAATATAGTGGCAGCTTCTTGAAACCAGTCACTGTACACTATAAAACATCCTCAGTTCACTACTTTTATTTTCTAATAAGCCAAAAAAAGCAACACAATATGAACATCAACCCTCATAAAGGTGAACTTTTCTCATAAGTAAAATGACTGTGGGGTTAATTATCCAATTTACACAGGAATACTTCTTTAATGATGGCATTTATGTTCATTGTACCTACGCGGACACTTCATTAGGTATATCTGGCTAGCATGGGCTGGACCCCTGTTTGCCTTCGGAACAGCACATATTCAACAAGGTGCTGAAAACATTCCTCAGAGATTTTGGTCCATATTGACATGATAGCTTCACACAGCTGCTGCAGATTTGTCACCTGCACATCCACGATGTGGATTTCTTCATCCATGTATCTCAAAGGTGCTCTATTCAATTGTAATGTAGTGGCTGTGGAGCTCATTTGAGTATAGTGAACTCATTGTCGTGTTGAAAAACTATTTTGAGATGATTTGAACGTCGTGACAGGTCACCTTGGTCGTTTATCATTATTTAAATTATGCTCGTGTGGTAAGGGGCCAAAGTGTGCCGAGAAAATGCCAAATTCTGTCCCCACCATCTGAGTGTAACAGCTGAAATGAACACTCCTCAGACTGAGTAACATTTTTTCAGTCTTTTTTCCCCAATTTTGGTGAGTGTGCCGAAACTGTAGCCTGTTCTTAGTTGACAGGAGTTCCAACCAGTGTGGCATTCTGCTGTAATGTTCAAACTGCATACCTCAGTTTTAAGAAGTGGTTACTGTTGCCTTCCTGTCAGCCTGAATCAGTCTGGTTATTCTCCTGTGACATCAACAAAGCATTTTCGCCCAGAGAACAGCAGCTCACTGGATATTGTCTCTTTTTTTGGACCATTGTCTGTAAACCATGGAGTTGGTGGTGTGGGAAAAATCCCAGCAGGTCAGCAGTTTCTGAAATGCACAGACCAGCTGGGATTCTAGCACAAACAACCGCGCCAACTTCAAAGGCACTTAATCACCTTTCTTCCCCATTCTGATGCTTGGTTTGAACTTCAGCAGGTCGTCTTGCCTACATGCCTAAATGCATTGAGTTGCTGCCATGTGATTGGCTGATTTGGTCTTTAAAAATGAGTTGAACAAGTGTGCCTACTAAAATGAATGCAAACTGTTCTGTTCATTTAACTGTTTTCATCTAACTGAGCTGCTTTTATTGCATCAAGGCTTCTGCTGCAGTAAACCTTGTTGCTTTGTCTCTATGAGCCATGGCTCACTACGAAACACCACGATGTAGTACTTAGAAGTGGAAAATTACAATAAATCAAACCCCATGATGTTGGAAACCTTGCACAGATTTCCAGGATCATAACTGACCCCACAACTTTCCAGTATCGTTGCCACATCAATGTGCCAATTCATGAAAAAAATAAAGTAGTTTTTGCCATTGTGATATAAAAAATGTTCACAGCAGCACTGAAGTTTAAAGTAACAGGTTTGCTATGTGCCTCATTCTTTTTTAATCTATTTTTATAGTGTACAAGTGAATGGTTTCAAACATAGCTGGAGAGTTAGGTGACGTGTCTATTCACTGCTATTGAGGCCTTCTGTAGCTATATTAATCTTTTAATATTTAGAGTCCTTTGGGGCTGCAGAGACAAAACACACAGTAAGTTATGATACTTTCATCTACAACCTCTCCCCCTCTTGATGGATACAAACACTTAGATCTACCAAGACCGGCTACCACGATCTGTGGAGACCAGCGACACAGGAATGAGGAAAATCATTTCAAAATAAATACATCAGTAGTTCTATGTAAAAAGAGACAAAGACACTTCTTTCCAGTAGGTTTAAATACTTTAAACTAGACTTGCTGCTTGCTTATTAATGACGTCTGAGCATTTTGGTCAGTTTAGCAAAAGAAAGGGAGTGTACTTAATAAATACTTAATAAATACGGCACATATTGACTTATTGCAGTAAGTTTCATGTGAACCTGAAGCTCTTAACATGTTCAACCTGGTAATTGAGAACAAATTTTTGCTAATTGGATTCAGCAGCTTTCAAAATGAGCCCGAATCAATTTAGTGTGTGAGATGTGAAGATCGCATACTTCATAAAAAGTAAGAAACCAGCTGACTCCAGCTAAACAGCAGGAACCTCTTACAGGCTGCATCGCAAAATGTCATTATCTTACATGACTTTTTGTTTTGCCACAGGGTGACAATTATTCCACTTATTTCCAGTACAGAACAAACGTAATGCAGAACTCTAAAACATCCCTTCCTCCAAGATAAATGCCTGAAGCACTGCAGGTGGAAAAAGAGGGGAAAAAAAAAAAATCTTACCCACTTTGCATAATAAGACATGAAGGATAAATGAAGGATAAATCTGATAAATCTTTTTCTTTGCAGTGCACAGCTTCTGTCATTAATCGCAAATTAGGGTGCTTTGATAAGAACCTGAACTGTAGTGTCTCTTTTATGCTGCTTATTTAAATCTTTAAATGTTAAAAAAAAAGAGAGAGTGAAAAACCGCCTGAGGCAATGTTTGACTGAGCAAGTCTCAAAAACAAAGGGAATAAGTTAAAGTCACTTCTACCTTTGATATATTTCAATTCAAATGTCTGACACCGAGTCTGGCTGACAGAAGGTTTTAGGAAATGTATCTGTCTTGGCAAAGTGAGGTTCACAGTCCTCATTAGTGCCAAGACTCTCTCTTTGCCTCTCCCTCTGACTTCTTAAATCCATGAGATATCTTTTAAGAAGTCATAACTACACAACTAAAAGACCACAATAGAAATCTGCTATAGATTTAATATCATCAATGCTCACGGCATCATTTGTGGTCTGCAATAGTGTCTGCCTTTTTCATATAAAACCTTTTCACCATATAAAAACTCTTTGTTTGACACTCTGTTTGTGTATGCATATATGAAAATCTGCTATGAGGAAGCTTTAGAGACGTCATAGTCCATGATGAGCTGCTTGATATATGAAAGTTTTTCGTGGAGATACTCGCAGCGTTTCTTTTCTTCCCGGTAACTGGGGAACTTCTGTGGAGACAAAAAAAAAAGAAAAAAAAAGTGTATTATTAAAAGAGTTTTACATGGTTTTCCTCTATGTTCACGCCTACATAACTTACATAGTAGACAGGTGGAAATCCTAAATAGAGCAACTGCAAAAAACCTTCTTAAACTAGTGCCAGCCTACACCATACAATCCACATTCTCTCAAATAATTAAAAAATAAACAATTAACAATAAATAAAACAATTTGTTTTTTAACCACTAACATATTGAGGATCAATCTTAAAGATTGTCTTTGTTTAGTTTAGGTTAACTACTCGCTGTTTAATAAAAGCAGCTTTCACAGAATTTAATTGCTTAAAAAAATCAAGCTATTTAAGCATTGAAATGTACATTTAAGACTATAAGAGCACAAAAAAAAGAGGAGCAATAGATGATAAATCTGAAATAAATCTCAAATATGTGAACTACAAGAAAAACGACTTCAATGTGTCTGACTTACCTTGCGATACTTGTTGTACTTTTCTAGTATTTGGTCTTCCATTGTCTAAATGGTACAAAACACAAAGTTGTTAATATTAGTTTCCACATAGAGACTAACAGTCCAAACTGAGCACTTGTATATCTGCATATATCATGTACCTTATATTCTTGAGTACCAGGGGACAGGCTCTTGATTTTAGAGCCCAGCTGAATGAACATGTGAGTTATGGTGGCAATCCGGGAATGGAGGTCTTTGTACTCATCATACTCGGCGCAGAAATCCTCCTGGTACTGCTCACGTTGCTCTAAACTTGTTATGGGGCTGTATTTTCTATAAGTAGACACAGAAACATAGTGTGTGATAATGTAAAGACCACCACAGAAGATAGAAATAATCTTATGCAACATTGAGCCTTCAAGAGACTCTCTTCCATATGAATTCTTTCCTAGAGATACAATCACAATATTTTTTGTGCAAATTTCTAAACTGCCCATTTCCCTAATTTCGTTTACTTCTTGTGTAGTACCTCTTTCTGCCACGAGATGGTAGCACAAGCCTACAATGTCATCCTACACAGTTTCTTCTTGAATCCTTGTCATCTACTTCATTTAAACAAAAGCAAACGATTCTAGCAGGTCATCAAAAAATTACTTGAAAACATGTTCAGACTTACAGCACATAATCTGGCTTCTCCTCAGAAACCACAGTATTTGTTATGTCAGGATCTGGAGCAAGAACGTAAGAAAAAGAAAATATCATTAGCTGCAGTCGAATCAGTACAGTCATCCATGTGGATCTTTGCCATTGTCTGAATATTAAGCAATGTGTTTTTTGTTTTGCTAAAAGCCACAGTGTGTCTGTGTGTGTGTGTGTTCATCTCTGCCTCTGTTCAGACTAGCTAAGAGCCTGTGGGTGTCAGGAGACCTCTAGGCTTAGAGACCCAAGCTGTTGTTGAGTCAGTCAGCCACATAACACACTGAGGACTCAAGAGGGGGAGCTTCAGGAAGCACATACAGTCATGAGATAATACTGTGCTGATACAGCACTGGGTTGCAAGGGGGGACTTCACATGCACTCATCTGCCCATTTATTAGGTACATCTGTTTAACTTTTTGCTAATACGATTATCCAGTTGGATTTAAATGGACGAAACAGCGCCAGTGCCAAAATAAACTGGAAGTAGTTTAATTTAACACGAGAGGCAGCAATGAAGAAGGGGCATTTAAATCCAGCTGACAGGAATTTGGGGGAATGTTGGATGAAAAAGCAAAACTACAATCACTGACTTAATGATCTGGAAAACATTACAAGATGTTTTTTAGCTTTGTTTTTTTTAATACACAGGGGGAAAAAAGGCCTTACTGTCAAGTTTGTCTGGATTCTTCTCGAGCTCATTATTCGTCTTTAACCAGTCAGTCCTATGGTCGTCTTTAAATTTCTCGCGCTCCTTGTCCTTGTGCTTTTTCGATTTCTTCTTTCTGTGCTGGCTGTTGGCGAGCTGTGGCTGAGCGCAGTTGGAGTCACGCTGGGTTGGCTGGAGGCTGCTTACTTTGGGTTCTTGCTCCCTGGTCTCTGAAACAGGCGTGTCAGAAGTGCTAGATAGTTTGTGCATTAGAGGAAAGGAATTATGGCTCCCTGGTAAACCATTTTGGTTATCAGTATGGTTATCTGTCCTTTGAAACTCAGTCTTTGTGTGGAAACTTGGGTTAAGGGAAGGAGTTGCATCATTGTGTCCTCCTTTATTGTTTAAGAGTCCGTTTACAGCTGGCTGCCGTTGTAACCTCTGGTCTGTGAGTTTTTGTCTCTTAGCTGCTAGTCTTTCCTGTGAGTCAAAAGGCACAGGGCGTTTCTAGGGAAACAGACAGGGAAAAACAAGAAATACATCTCTGAAACATTTTCATACAAACTTCATGAATAAACTTTAATTCCAGCAGACAAAGGTAAAGACTAGAGGGCAAAGGGCACACATTTACACGGACGTAAAGAAGCAACATCCGTTCAAAACCACATCAACCACTTTCACACATACTGAAAGGTAAATGGAGAACAATACAGCCATTTACCACTGCAAGATTTTTTGCTATGCTTTGATCCTCTGACGTCCTCAGTACTGATGGGTTTGGTTGAGGATTTCGCGACTGGTTGCCAATATGTGGCTGCAACTTCCTATCAAACAGAAAGAGAGAACAAAGCAATCAGACACAACCAAAGCACCTTTGGGAATTTCATAAACACCTAGTCTTGCTGGTTTACAGAAGCCCGAATATGGCCGAGCTTAAAGGTGGAAAAGATTCTCTGTATAGCAAGGACACACAAGGTCTGCCTCTGAGGGCTGACTATACAGAAACATGTGGGAGTGAAAGAAGATGTGCAGGAGACCTTACTTTTCTAATGCGGCGAATAACAAGTGCAAAATGAAGTTTCAATGATTCAGTCATCATCTTGTTATTTATGAGCTAACACCAGTACCACCGGGGAATTAATACATAAGATATATCAGGCATAAAAGTGAAAGGGCACGTTTACGCACAGCACGTTACACAAAAACAAGCTGTTTAATGAGAGCGCATAACTTGCATCCATCTGGGACCCCCTGCCTCTAGCCCACCTGGCCAGCAGCCGGCTGACAAGCTGCTTCTCCTCCTCGTTGTAGCCTGGCCAGTCTCTCTGCACATGCCTGTAGAAGTCATCTCTCAGTGAGTAGCTGCTGTCTTTGGGGTTCAATTTGGCCACCTAAAGAAATATCACACAACACACAATGTTAATTCAAATTCCTATTAAAGTTAGAAAAAATGTTATTTATTAGTTACTCCATGCCAAATGGTGAATTTTAATGTGACATTCACCGTTTTTTTAGCTCCGTTTTTAGTCTCCACCGGCCCCAGAGGAAAGCATCTGCTTCGATAGCAGTTAAATATTGCCATATGTTCAACAGTTAGTCATCAAATTTGTTTGCCAGAAAGTGGTTAGAAAGTAGGGAATAAGAGGTTATTTTTTCCTGGATGACGCACACATTTCTACTTCTTAATTAAGACAGAATTTAAGTCATTGTATTTTGGCTAAAAATCTCAGTCATACAGACTCTGGCTGTTACTGTTAGGAAGGTTGGAGCTCTTTCTGACCAGGCATATGCCTCATTTAATGTCCTCATGTAACAAATCTCTCAGACACACTTCTTTCATCTGATCAGTCATGTAAAAGTGAGGAACATCCTTTCTCAGGAAAAGTAGCCAACACCTTTATTTCTTTTAAGCCTTTTGCAGAGAATACAAAGCTGCTGCCTTCAATCTGTTGTGGCGACAGGATTCTGCCATTCAAACACACACCCACTGGAGTGACAGAAAGCACCATGCAGATGATTGGAATAAAAGATGAGGGTTTTTTCTTGGTCACAAGAGTAGCCAAGTCATAAGTGCCTTAACCTTGGATTCATGATAGCTGTGGTTGCAAAAACACTTTTAGTCATACAGAATCTCAGTGCTATGGAAGCCCGTTTCCGCCACTAAAAAAAAAAAAAAAAGCTAGTATCCATAACTCGAAATTTCGAGTTA